GAGAGAGAGAGAAAGAGAGAGAACATATGGACCCGTATGTGTGTGAGAGAAGTCTTACATCGAACACTTGGAGGACATGCTCTTCTTTTTTTTCCTTTCATATGTAGAGAGATATAGAATATGAGTTCATGAGAGGAGGGGGGGGGGGGGTTCACATCGAAGTGAATATGCATATTATGTAAGGCCGTCTAAAAGCTAGCATTCATGTGCTGGCAAAGTCGGAACAGTCCAGTTTTTTTTAGTGGGATGGTGGACGAGAATGATGCAGATTGCTTTTTAAAGTCATAACTTTTTACTAAGATCTCCCTTTGGGGTGATTCAAATCTTAAATCGAAGTTCTCTGTTAGATTATTTTTATTATCTATATGGTTTTTTCCTAACTTGGATGTTTCAGGCCTCAAATCTTGGTGAAAAGGTTGCTCGCTGGAGTACATAAAGAATGTTGGGTGGTCAAGAATCAACAAAGCCATAAGATGAGTGTAGCTGAGATGAGGATGTTGAGATGGATGAGTGGTAAGACAGGAAGAGATAGAATTCAAAATGAATACTTTTGGGAGAACTTAGGTGTGACTCCAATGTGCAATAAGATGAGAGAAAGTAGACTTAGGTGTGCTGGCCATGTGCAGCTCAGACTTTGTACAACACTTGTTAAGAGGTGCGAGTTAGTTCAAGTGGAATGCTCAAAAAGGGCAAGGGATAGGCTCAAAAGGACAATGGGGAATTATGGCCTCACTGAGGGTATGGCTCTTGATAGAGCAGAATGACGAACTAGGATTCGTGTAGCCGACCCCAAATAGTTGGGAAAAAACTTTGATGATGATGATGATGATGATTGATTGGTTAGTAAAGTTTGAGTTTTTGAACTTACTAGTTGTAAAGTTTGGATTTTTAAACTTACTATTAGGTAAGTCAAAGTCAGTCTCTCTTTTTTTTTGGTTAGAAATGGTCTAGAAGTAGTTTCCTTCCTAATTTTGTAAAAGGGCTGAATTCTTAAAATCATAAAGAATCTAGTTCCCTAATATTGGAAGAGATAGATTTACGAAATGTTGAAGGATTGCTTAACTTCCAAATTAAGCAGGATGAGAGGTTTGTACCTAAATGAAAAGAGATGTAGGGCAATGCAAATAATAGAAGAGGTTGAGTTTGTGAATAAAACTTGCTTTTGCTTGATGGTGTTAATTCCATCCTGAGTTGTTAATGCCTTCTTCATGGTGTGGACTTCATGAACCCTAGTTTTGGGTTGATCTTGATGCGAACACAATACTAAGCCTCTTAAGTTGCACGAGGTGTCAACTCCTTATACAAATAAGGGTTTTCTTCTTCCTTCATCCATCCTTTTTTCTCTTTCCATCCCTGCACTATACGAAACCTAAGAATACTCCACTTCCGTCACCCCAAAAGTCCTTTTAAACGGCAGGAAAACCAGCTCTTGACAACCCTAACACATAACTTCCATTTCCAGTCTTTTCTATCTTAAAGCCAGCCCGAGGTGCCCTCCTTTCATCCTTGTATCTTGCTGGACTGTTAACTTTTAGCAACTTCAACTTCCATTAAACTTCCAACCCGAAACTTTACCTTAACCTCACCAAATCGTCCCCTATAGACTTAGTCTAAGTCCCACCACCTTAACCCCCCTATCATCTAAAACCCTGCTGTCCTAGATTTTGCAGAGACACAGATCCTTCAAAATTCCCAAATCCTAACCTAACTAGAATTCCAAAGCTATGTGAACCCTTTCTTCCTAAACCCACCCACATGTGATACTCATTTAGGAACCAAGTGGGTTTGCATTGGCAATTAAGTAGTCAAGTAAACAAAAGACGTAGTTGCTGGATGCTTAATATCAAAAGCGTACAAAGTCTCATTGCATTATAGAACAGTTCATCTGTCTTTGTTTGTTATGTCTGTTGATGTTTAATTAGTAGCATAATAGATCATGCAAAGGGTTTTGAATTAAGAAATCTTTTTCTTCGGGTTCAATGGGTGACTGGCTAAGCCATCAAAAAGAAAAAAGGGTGAATGCTGAACTTCCATCAAGCAGTCAAATTGAAACTTAGAGGAGATAGGGTTCCTAAAATATTTACCTACACATTTATACCATATTCTTAGCCATAAGTGGTTCTCATTTGACGTACTTTAGTATTATAGGCTAAGATTGGTCATGTCAAAGGGTTAATTTAAGAACCCATATGTGCTGCATTTCTTTGGTGACATTTGAGGTTGATACATGCGTTGCAGTTATGCCATTTTCTGTGGTGAAACACTACGTAACCCTTTTTTTTTTGTGTGTGTGTGACTTCAGTGGCAATGTATTACTTAATAAACATGTTTACAAAAGTATTCCATTAGCTGTAGGATGAGGCAGCACACATATGTCGGGTGCTCCATTAGAGCAAAAAGCATGTCAGGAAATAAAAAATTACAATTAGGGCCTCCTTTGTGCAAAAAATGGTAGGGCCTGTACATGGTTCAGTGTAGGGTTAAGAGAGAGAGCGTATAGAGTGAAAATTAGAGGAGTGGATAAAAAGAGATAGGGGGTAGTGAACAAAGAAAGACTATAGAGAGGAGAGAAAGGGAGAAAGAGGATGAGGAAAAAGCATAGAGAGGAGAAACAAAAAGCAAAAAGGGGGGGGGAAAGAGACAGAAAGGTAGGTTGTGGTAAGGGTGGGTAGGAGGAGATGAAGTAAGGGAGATGAGGAATAGAGAGAGAATAGTGGGGGAAAAGAGAAGAATAAAGACTGTAAAAATTAGTAAGTGCAGGGAGAGATGGTAGAGTTGAAACAAGAAAGTTCAAGATAGAAAGCCAAAATAAATACATGGTGAAGTCAAGTAACCCAAGGTATGCCCCTTCCTTTGCCAACACGTCAGCCACTGTATTGGCCTCCCACCGAGTATGAGAGAATTTGACTCGAAGAGGCCTGCACAAATAAAAAATATGATAGAAAATGTCAGATAATCTTGAGGACAGGGTGACTTCCTTGAGGCCCAGATGATAACATTTTTCAATCTCCTTCGACCACTAGATGATCTTCCCAAAATGGGTCAAAACTCTTCATTCCCTCAAGAATGGCATTTGCTTCAGCGCAATAAGAATCACGGAGACCGAGGTATCCTGAGAAGCTAGAAAAAATGTTCCTTTGTTTGTTTCTTTAGATAGCTGTGTTACCATGGGAGCTCCCATCTATGTTCATTTTGATGTGACACATGGGCTTGGGGAAATATGAAAGGTAGACCAGACCTTGTCAAGGATTTGAAGGTGAGGATGGTGACCCAATTAGACATAAACAAAGCAGTCGGTAGAGATTTAATGTCTTTGAACTGTATGGTTGGTGGGAATAGGGCAAATGGCTTCTTTACAGAATAAAGCCCAGAAAATATGCCCAAGTGGGCACTGGACCTGACCTTTTCATTATTACCATTATTGTAGATGAAAAAATTGTGCAGTGTGTTATGCAAATTCAAGAAGTTCGGTATCTAATCATCGTGCAAAGATCTTCTAAGAGTAGGGTTCCAAATGATGTTGGCATCATAGACTTTAAAGCATTGGTTCATTGTGGCATTTGGGCAGGAAGCTAGTTTGAAAAGTTTGAGCCATTGTTTGTTAAAAAGTTGATAACCGAACCGAATATCATGCCAAAAGGGCATTATCTCTGCTATTAACTTTGAATATGATGAGTGGCATGAAGAGATGATGACAAGCGTAGGGCATTTTTTAACATCCAGACACACGGGTGGTCATAGGCCTTTTGTTAGGGAGACAACCAAAGCTATTAGCTCCATATTTGAAAGGAAAACCTCTTTGCCAAAGAAGATGTTTTCGGCTTGCAAAACACCACCACGATTTGCCTAGAAGGGTGAGATTCATGAATCTGAGTTTGCGGATACCCAATTCACCCACCTTTTTGGGTGAAATTAGGATTTTTTTTTTTTGTGAGGTTCATCACCCGACCACAGGAAATTTTTTCTAAGCATTCCTAGGATTTTAGTAAACGAGGCCGGCATACGGAACAAAGTCATGAAGTAGATGGGACATGAGAATATTGGATAGGGGGCTT